CCCCAAAACCCCAAAACCCCAAAACCCCAAAACCCCTAAAATAATTTTATTTGTTGTATAATTAGTAATAATATTATTTTACCTGCTGAGGGTCTGGAGATGAAATGTCATCTTGGTTATCATCTGAGTTATCCTTCACAAATCTAGAGTCAAAGATTAGCTACCTACACTTCTTGCTCACTGCCTGATTTCATGCCTAAATCTGTATGATTTTTGTCCTTTCTGTGCTTATTCATGGGCTGCTTGCCGACCTTCTTCTTCATGTAAGAGTCACTAAAGAGAAAGCCACCGTTGTCAGATGTATTCTTAGGTTTCTTGGAGATCTTGAGAATGTCCTCTGTCATTTTCTTCTTCATTGAGAACTCTTCTATCATCCTTTTCTGTTGGGAGTAGTGAGCTTTTCTACGCTTCTCTACCATGAGCCTTTTATTTTCTTGTTTGCGCTCCTTCTCTTCCTCTTCTTTTTCTTTTTTCTCTTTTTCTTGGAAGTAATCCTCCAGCTTATTTACGCTGCTTCTCAAGGTATTTTTGTCTAAAGGAGTAATTTAAGTTTAGTTACCTTCTTTCTTCACGAACTTCCTCACGGTGCTTCTCCTCGGCCTCGAGGCGCTTGGCTTCTTCGAGTAACTCTATTTCTCGCTGGATCTTCTCCTCACGATACTTCTCGATCCTCTCCTGAATTTTGTGTCTCTGGCGAGCCTTGAGGATATAGCGCCTTCTTTCTTGATGCTCTTTTTGTTTTTTGAGGGACTTCTCAATGTCTACGTAGCGGATCTCTGACTGGGCTGCATTCTTGCCCTGTATTCTCATTTTTGTTCTATTGTTATGGGAGTGCAATCTTTGGGCATAGTTCTTTTTGCGGAACATTCTTCTCTTCGGCACACCGTATAAAGAGTGATTCAAACGTTTCTCGTTCGGATCGATATCCTCATCAGTGTTGTTAAGAGGGGTTATTTGGGTGCTATTTAGTTTATCATTTCCAGAAGTTTCGAAATCTTCATCATGGATCGCAGGAAATCCATCATTTCCTTTATCAATACTTTTCTTGGGATTCCTTCGATTACTCCTGTTCATTCTAGCCTTATGCTGGATGATCTTCTTGCGCAGTGGCTTTGGCAGATCCTGCTTCTGAGCAGATTGAGAATGAGTTGACTGGTTCAGACTTTTCTTAGACTTATTCGCAGACATGTTCATCTTCTTATTGGCAGCTACAATCTCTTCAAGTGTAGCATAGTGGTTTCAGGGAGGACTCAGGGTACATACAGGGCATCTACCAGTCTTGACTAACTTGTTTTTCATAGTGTCAGAAGCTTTCTTAAGTTCTTCTTTCCTCTTCTTCTCAAGCTTTTCGCTGATTATACGCTCATATTCAGCAATGGAATCCTTGCTTTCATCTGGGTTAAGCTTGGCGCTGGATTGGTTCATATTTGAAGGGCTACTCGTAAGGGCAAATAACATACCTCTCATTTTGATTGTCTTCTTCACTGTTCTCAATCTGATTGAACATATTATCATCCGAATTTACGATGTTAACGATGTTATTCTGATCCTATACCAGAGGAGTTATAATTGGATCAATACCAAACAGGTTTTGAAATATAAATTACCTCATTATCTTCCTTCTTTGACATTTCTTTTTCTTCGCCTTGTGAATTGACTTCCTGTTTCTGGGCTTCATCATCTACAGGATCATTAGGAGCTCCAGGATCATTAGAAGCTTCAGGTGTGTTGGACGCTTCTTGTTTATCCTGGTCGTCAGGTTTTTCTATAGATTTCTCCGATCTTGGAGGCTCCTAAAGGATTATAAAAGGCTTAATACTTGTTGTTGACTAGGCTCATTCCCAAAGTCTAGGGATTGATCGTCATTATCCCCATTGATTTGGTCAAGAGGGTCGTCATCCTCCTTATCTTTACCACCAGAGCTGACGGGCTCTGGAGGTTGATGTGAAGAGTCATCTTCCTTCTTAACTTCAATGTTGTCAGTTGAGTTATTCTCAATTTCTTTGTTATTTTCAGTATTCTCTTGGTTCTCTATTGCTCCCTCAGATTCAGCTGGTGTATCAGCTTGGTCATTTGACTGCTGAGGGGCTAACTGAGGGGCTATAGCAAGGATTAATGGTCAAGACTTTTCTTGGCGCAACCATTTTTGAGGGATTATATTCTTCATAAATTTCATGAAGAGTAAGTTTGCTAAAAATAGTAACCTAATAAGACTATATCTAGGTAAAGTTCTCTTAATCTTGAGCTCTTTAGGTCTTTGAGAATGTTAAGTGTGAAATTTTGTTATATTTCTTACCTTTCTTTTGGAATTTAGCAAATGGGTTTATTCTTGAATTACTAGACATTTTGTTCCAATTTTTATAATTATATTTGGGGTTTTGGGGTTTTGGGGTTTTGGGGTTTTGGGG